TTCATACTGTTCCGTTCTCAAATGAATTATTTTTAATTAAAATGAACTAAACCAATCCTTAATTTCAAAATTGTTTGTTTTTTTTTAATTTTATGATTTTTAGAAGAGAAATTCAGAAACTTGAAAATTGGAATGCGATTTTTTAATTTTTGAACACTGCGTTTTCATACTGTTCCGTTCTCAAATGAATTATTTTTAATTAAAATGAACTAAACCATTCCTTAATTTCAAAATTGTTTTTTATTTAATTTTATGATTTTTAGAAGAGAAATTCAGAAACTTGAAAATTGGAATGCGATTTTTTAATTTTTGAACACTGCGTTTTCATACTGTTCCGTTCTCAAATGAATTATTTTTAATTAAAATGAACTAAACCAATCCTTAATTTCAAAATTGTTTTTTATTTAATTTTATGATTTTTAGAAGAGAAATTCAGAAACTTGAAAATTGGAATGCGATTTTTTAATTTTTGAACACTGCGTTTTCATACTGTTCCGTTCTCAAATGAATTATTTTTAATTAAAATGAACTAAACCATTCCTTAATTTCAAAATTGTTTTTTATTTAATTTTATGATTTTTAGAAGAGAAATTCAGAAACTTGAAAATTGGAATGCGATTTTTTAATTTTTGAACACTGCGTTTTCATACTGTTCCGTTCTCAAATGAATTATTTTTAATTAAAATGAACTAAACCAATCCTTAATTTCAAAATTGTTTGTTTTTTTTTAATTTTATGATTTTTAGAAGAGAAATTCAGAAACTTGAAAATTGGAATGCGATTTTTTAATTTTTGAACACTGCGTTTTCATACTGTTCCGTTCTCAAATGAATTATTTTTAATTAAAATGAACTAAACCATTCCTTAATTTCAAAATTGTTTTTTATTTAATTTTATGATTTTTAGAAGAGAAATTCAGAAACTTGAAAATTGGAATGCGATTTTTTAATTTTTGAACACTGCGTTTTCATACTGTTCCGTTCTCAAATGAATTATTTTTAATTAAAATGAACTAAACCAATCCTTAATTTCAAAATTGTTTTTTATTTAATTTTATGATTTTTAGAAGAGAAATTCAGAAACTTGAAAATTGGAATGCGATTTTTTAATTTTTGAACACTGCGTTTTCATACTGTTCCGTTTTCAAATGAATTATTTTTAATTAAAATGAACTAAACCAATCCTTAATTTCAAAATTGTTTTTTTTTTAATTTTATGATTTTTAGAAGAGAAATTCAGAAACTTGAAAATTGGAATGCGATTTTTTAATTTTTGAACACTGCGTTTTCATTCTGTTCCGTTTCCAATTAATTGATTTTTAAATAAAATGAATTAAAACATTCCTTAATTTCAAAATTGTTTTTTTTTTAATTTTATGATTTTTAGAAGAGAAATTCAGAAACTTGAAAATTGGAATGCGATTTTTTAATTTTTGAACACTGCGTTTTCATACTGTTCCGTTCTCAAATGAATTATTTTTAATTAAAATGAACTAAACCAATCCTTAATTTCAAAATTGTTTTTTTTTTAATTTTATGATTTTTAGAAGAGAAATTCAGAAACTTGAAAATTGGAATGCGATTTTTTAATTTTTGAACACTGCGTTTTCATTCTGTTCCGTTTCCAATTAATTGATTTTTAAATAAAATGAATTAAAACATTCCTTAATTTCAAAATTGTTTTTTTTTAATTTTATGATTTTAGAAGAGAGAATTC